GAAATCAAGATATGAATCTTGGCAGAAATATGAAGGGCAGAACGAAATCTAGACATGTCAATATTATAAGAAGAATGGACCTATAAGAGTTGATTTCTATGCTTTGAAGTACAGAAATAAAGTTGTTGGTCCTACTGTGAAAGGGAATCAACCTGTTGTACAACGGAGACTGATGTTGTGGAAGATGGGCAAAGTGAAGGAAAGTTTCTTGTGATTTCTGACATGAATTCCAAACCATATGAGGAATGGGTTCTTAACTTAGCTTGTACTTTTCATGCGTGTCCCAATAGAGACTGGTTTTCAACATATGAAGGAGTTTTGGGAGGTGTAGTTATTATGGGAAATAACGCGCCTTGCAAAATTATCGAAGTTGGTACAGTCAGAATCAAAATATTCGATGGGGCTATCAGAACACTTACAGATGCAAGACATATTCCATAACTGAAATGGAATCTCATATCTTTGAGTACACTGGTGAAGATGGAGTTTTGAAGGTGAGCCGATGTGCTCTTTTTGTCATGAAGTGACATAAAAGTTCTACACAGTTGTATATTTTGCATGGTTCAACTGTAATTGGGGATGCAACCGTTTTTACTTCTTCTTTGATAGATGATGAAATTATAACACTTTGGCATATGCTACTTGAGCGTATAAGTGAGAATGACATGACAGGGTTGAGTAGAAGGACACTTCTAGATGGGCAAAAAATTGGCTTAATAAGTTTTTATGAGCATTGTGCATTGGAGAAATAGAAAAGAGTTAGATTCATGAAAGGAAGACACAATACGAATGGAACACTTGAATATCTCCATTTAGATCTTTGGGGACCGGACATGGTACCATCAAAATGAGACCATTATTACTTGTTGACATTAATTGATAATTTCTCCAAGAAAGTTTGGGTATTCTTCTTGAATTAGAAGAGTGACGTGTTTAGAATCTTCAAGGAATGTAAAACTGATACTAGAAGAAGTATGGTTCAGTGAACCTTCTTGTTATTTTGATTTGAAGATTTTTGGGTGTCCTACTTATACTCATTTGGATAATGGGAATTGGAGCCTAGAACTAGAAAATACATTTTTCTTAGGTATGACTATAAATTGTGGTGTCCTGAGACAAGAAATGTGGTTGTTAGTAGGGATGTAGTATTTGATGAATTTGCTATGATTTGTGGTTCACCTCTTAGGAATTCTGATAAAATTGAGGAGCAGAAACATTTAACTTAGGTGGAGTTGGAAATTGGTTCGGAGGAATAATCAAAAGGTTGTAAAACAGTCTACTAGAGATGAGTCCAATTTGAGGTTGACGACAGTAATATCTTGCCTACTTTGCCTACACCACCCAATCATAATATTCAATAGTTAAGGATAGACCTAGCAAACAGATTAAACCTCCACAAAAGTATGAGGAAGTAGATTTGGTAGCTTATGCATTGAGTGTGGCTTAAGACATTGATTCTATTGAGGAGTCTGCTATATATTTAAAGGCAGTCAGTTGTAGTGATTTTAGCAGGAGGATGATTGTTATGCAGGAGGAGATTGTCAGTAACTCTTTTTTATTGTGACGAGACTTAGTTAAATTACCTAAAGGTAAAAAGGCTGTTCGCTGCAAATGAGTGTTCAAAAGAAATGAAGGTACATCATGGATTGAAGATGCTAGATATAAGGTTAGATTGGTGGCAAATGGCTAGAATCAGATTTCAGGTGTTGACTTTACAGATGTGTTCTCACCCGTTGTGAAGTTCCATCCGAGCTTTAATTGGAATGATGGCTAACAATGACTTAGAGCTTGAGCAGATGAATGTCAAAACATCATTCTTACATCGAGAACTTGAGTAGAACATCTGCATGCAACAACCAAAGGGGTTTACAGTCTCTAGGAAAGAAGACTGTGTATGCTTGTTGAAGAAGTCCTTGTATGAACTAAAGCAGTCACCGAGGCAATAGTATAAGATGTTTGATTCATTCATGATTACTCATGATTTCTTCAGATGTAAATGATAGTTGTGTGTACTTTAGAAAGGAAGATAGTAGATTGACTACATATTTGTTATTATATGTTGATGATATGCTCATAACAACCAAAGATAAAAAGTGAAGTTTCAACTCAACGAGGAGTTTGATATGAAGGATTTGGGTGCAGCAAAAAACATTCTTCGTCTGGAAATATTGAGGGATAGAAGGGCTGACAGATTGTATTTGAGTCAGAAGGGGTACATTGAGAAGGTGCTTGAAAGATTCAATATGGTGAGTGCGAATTTTGTTAGTACTCCCTTGGCTGCTCATTTTAAATTATCATCTAACTTGTGTCCTCAATCAAATGAAGACATTGATTACACGTCTCAAGTTCCTTATTCAAGTGCAGTGGGTTCATTTATGTATACTATGGTTTGTACAAGATCTGATTTAGCACATGTAGTTAGTACAGTTAGCAGATACATGATAATCTTATCAAGGAACATTGGAAAACAGTGCATTGAATTTTCAGATACTTGACGGGCTCTTTTAATGCTTGTTTACATTTTGGTTGAAATTCAAATTGAGTAATTGGGTATGTGGATTCTGATTATGCATGGGATCTTGATAAGAGGAGATTACTTACAGAGTATGTGTTTACCTTTAGAGGTTGTGCTATCGGCTGAAAAGCTACTTTGCAAAATGCAGTAGTTTTGTCTACAATAGAAGCAAAATACATCGCCATAACAGAGGTATGTAAGGAGGCTATATGGTTGAGAGGATTGATTGGCGAAATCAGTAAAGACTTGTAGATGTCTACAGTATTCTGTGATAGTCAGAATGAAATTTTCTTGATTAAGAATAAGATGTTTCATGAGAAAACTAAGTACATTGATGTGAGGTATCATTTTGTACGTAATGTGATTCCACGTGGTGATATTGTAGTAAGCAATGTTGATACCAAGGATAATCATGTTGATATGATGACAAAACCACTTCCTATTGCTAAGTTTGAATATTGTTTGAACTTAGTGGGTGTTTGTCATTGATTTAGTCAATCAGGACTTGTTTGGAAGATGAAGAGTGGTGTTTATTGAAGGATTTGTAACTTGGAATTCCTTGTATTGGAATTTGGTTTAAGGTGGAGATTTATTGTGATTTGACTCAAATTCTAGTGGCTATTGAAGTCTAAATTGGAGTGGTCTTGAAGAAATCAAAATTATGGATTGAAGGAAAAAATCCGCATTTTCGATAGTTTGGCGCTAGCGGATGCTCGAGCAAGCTTGATAGAATACAACCCGAGACTTCGTGCGTCGACGAGCGACAGGCTTATCCTTCCTAGACCCATCTTCGTTTTTTGACGCGATTTTGAACTCCTGTTTTTCTACAACTTGTTCTCTTGGGTTTGTATATATAAGACACAATTTGTATAGAATAACACAACAGAACACAATAGAGTGAGATTCATATAACATTTTGAGAGCTTTAGATTTCAATTGAGCGCATTGAGATCTTGTAAACAAAATTGATATTGATTATAGTGGATTTCTCCCTCTCTGCACATGATTTTTTCCCGTATTGGATTTTCACGAAAATTTTGATACTTATTTTCTTCTTGTTTATTTTATTATAGTCATTATCACTTAATCCAAATTCATAATAACTGGTATCAGAATAATTTTAGTATCTTGTTTGTTCCATAACAAAAAGTTTAGTTTCAATCATGCCAATTAATAAAAGTTGTGAGTCGCATGAAATTTCTAATCGAAAATGAATTTAAAAAAAGGAGGACCAAGAAATTATTTTTCATAAGAGTTTTGCCCTTTTTCTATCATATCCGTTTCTTTTTATTTAACTTTCCATCATAAAAAATCTGTTGTATTTCTAATATAGTGAGGTGTGAATGACATCACAGTGTCGTCACTCTAAGACAAAAATTAAGTTTGAAGCTTAATCTTTGGTGTGTATTTTTCTGATTCCAAAAGTCAAAACCTAAACACTGTTTAAATTAAGAGTTTGCTATAGGCTAACACCTTCAATCACAGCCGTTAGTGCCCCATATATTTTTCACTTTTTTTCACATTATTCTGAAGTTTTATAAATTAATTAACAATTATTCATCTCATAAAAATTAATTTAGTATTTTTGTTCCGGCAAGATTCAATTACAATTTCAGAATAATTTAGTATTTTTCCATTAGAGCGTGTTCGGTCTACCTTAAAATCCAATTAAAATTGAAAATATAGTTTTTATTGAGTCTCATTTGTCTAATAAAATTCAACAATAAATGTTAGTTTTTCAATTTTAATCCGATTTTAATCTGTACCGAACACGCCCTAAATAGCTAGGTTCACAATAATCTATTTTTTGTCTCAAATTTTTTACAAAAGTAAGGAAATGAACTCGCGTTTGATTATGACTTTTAAATGAGAGAGCACAATTTCCATTATTTTGTGAGAAGAGACTAATTAATGAAAGGCGAACTTAAAAATTGATCCGATAATGCAAATTCTTGTCAATTTATTGATATGTTTGACAAACTCCAACAAGTTTAAATGTGGATAACCTAATTTTTTAAAGCTAGAACAAAAGTTTGATTTGGTTTATCCTAGTGAAATATATTTACTTGTCATAATTACGAACAGAGAACACTTCCAAGAAATTACTTGTATAAATCTTGACTCGGAAAAAATCTTGAATATTATCCAAATCCAAAGTGAGTTGACAGCATCGTATATTCAAATCCGAATAAAATTTTGTCTCCTCCTCTAGCACAAAATTTTCTTCCCATTGTTTAATCAATTAACGGAATCATCCCTTATTAACAAATAATCCCACCAGTCTTTCCGTGCAATTTCCTTCTACCGCAAGAAACTGTCAAACCCCACCCACCCCACCTCCTGTTTTTCTATATAGCTTCTTCAATTTCTCAGTTATTTCTCTTTCTCATTTGCATTTGAAATCGCTGTCAAGAAATTCTTCTGGATAAATTTCTTGTTAATATTTTCTGGTTATAGAGCTAGGTGTTTTGATTGATAAGCAAAAATGGAAGGAGGGCCTTCATCTGTTGTAAATGAAGAAGATGATCTTATGGACTTGCCTCCAGGTTTCAGATTCCATCCAACGGATGAGGAGATTATTATTCATTATCTTATAAAGAAGGTTATGGACAGGCGATTTGCAGCAAGAGCTATTGGAGAAGCTGATCTGAATAAGTGTGAACCCTGGGATTTACCAAGTAAGCTCTTTCTCTCTCTCTTTTTGCTTAATGAACTATTTTCTTCTCTTCTTAAGCGATTTCTTTGTTTTCTTTTTGGGCTAGTTGTATATGGAATAAGAATACATTAAAAACTAAGTGATGATTTAACATGAAACTATAGGTTTTGATTGACTTATTTTTAATAAACTTGAGATCGTCTACATAAATCCTTCTTAGTCGTTCCATTGTTATTTTGGTCCCAAAACGGAATAAAAAGCATATAATTTACAATCCGTCAGATCTATGCTTCACTGACAATAAATTTGCTTCTTGATTTACTTCCTTAAAGATCAGATCTTAAGAAAGCAAATAAATTGCATGTATTGACATTAAGCACTATACACGTCTATTTATATCAGTTATTAATGTTTTCTTGAAAAGATTAACAAATCACCAGCAAAAAAGATTAACATAGTCGATCTTAAATTTATTGAGAACAACCTTTGCGATATTAATTTTGCAGATATTTCATTATCAATATAATTAATTATGCAGAGAAGGCGAAGATGGGGGAAAAAGAATGCTTCTACTTTTGCCAGAGGGATAGGAAATATCCTACAGGAATGCGAACAAATCGAGCCACAGAATCTGGATACTGGAAGGCAACTGGAAAAGATAAGGAAATATACTACAAGCAGGGAAGGAACTGTCTCGTTGGGATGAAAAAGACTCTTGTTTTCTACAAAGGGAGAGCTCCTAAAGGAGAGAAATCCAATTGGGTTATGCATGAATATCGACTTGAAGGCAATTTCTCCCACTACAACTTTTCTAGGGCTGAAAAGGTGATTGATTACTTCCTTTAATTTATCCTTTTTATTTCACCTTTTCTATTGCTTGAGTACTGTGAAAGATAGATTGAACAATGTATTGGATTGTATGAAAAAAGAGAATTTAAACTCTTATTTGTTGTGTTGTTTAGTCATGTCTGCTAAACATGAATTTCTTCTTCTGCCATTCTGGAACATAAAATGGTTCAATTTTTCTTAGTTAGCATGATTTTTTTGTCAGGAGGAATGGGTTATTTGTAGAGTTTTCCACAAGAGTACAGGAGTGAGGAGAATTCCAGGTGCAGAACTATCAAGAGTGGACTCTTTTAACGTAGATCATCTCCTGGATAGCCCTACGCTACCACCTTCAACAGACATTTCTTATAATCCCACTGCATACAGAGATAGCTCAAGCTTTAAAACTGATCACGAGCCTGAGTTTGAAGGGAAAATTTCCTCGTCAAGATTAATACAAATGCAACATGATCAGAAATCCTTCCTTTTGCCTTCACATAATTTGAATAGTTTCTATTCTACCTATCCCGATCCAATTTCCTATTCCCATAGTGTTCCTGCTAACTCAATGTTTTCCTACCAAGATGGGATCGGTTCGACATCTAGTTATGGTTCAATCTTCCCCTTCAAAGGTGCTGAACAGGTTAATTTAAATATTTTGATGGCACCTGATCATAGGATGTCAGAACTCGAAAAGAAGTGCAAACCTGAAGGTAACAATTCTTGGATCAGTCATTCTCAAGATACTGGATTGAGCACTGATATTGCCACTGATGGAGATATTGAAAGCAAGAAACCATTTGAAGACCTTGATGGTCTTTCATTCAGTCCCGATATTTCAGATTTTGATTCGTTGTGGAGACACTGAATTAAGTACAGAACTAATCTGCGTTCTGATAATTTATTGTTCATCTTAATTAGGGAAAACCTCTTCTTCCATTCCAGTAATTAGACCATGGAAGAAGAGGTTCATCATGGTTCAAATTGCTTTGTACATAGTAATTTATCATTTTAGTGCGTTCTTGTTTACATTTTCAATCATAGATGCTAGGAAATCTCCTGACTTCTAGCATTGTGGCTTGTATACATCGTGATTGTTCATTTTTTAGTGGTTAATTAGTTCAGGATTTGATCATGTACTGATTGATGGAATTTTTATATATGAGTTGATTGTTGTAGTTACTTTTGAAACATGTTTAGCTGAATTCACCAAAGAATAATGACGATTTGGGTTAATCTAACGGGTTGTCTATCAGTGCATTTAATTTATTGTGGAATGTTTAATTTCTTTTATATATCTGTAATGTATTACAGAAACATATATTGGACTTTTATCGTATTGGAGAATATCGAGTTTCCTAACGTTGTTCTGTGTTACAGAAACTAATATATGCTTCCATTTCTGTACTTTTTAGTTTGTAATCTTCATCATTTACCATGTTTAGTATGGAGGATTTCCTAGTATTCGATGGTAATAAAAAAGGAAAAGAAATTATGGAGTCCATCTCGACTTACCAAACACATTCGATGGTGTTCTTCAATACATTAATTAACTCTTTAAGTACTTGGCAAATAAAAATAACTTCCTGATTTGCTGATTAAAATGCATGTACTATCACACTATTAAGAAGAGAGATGCTTTGCTTAGAATTCAAAGTTCAGACACTCATATGTCTTATTCCCTCAAGAAGGGAGAGCAACCTCACATCCCAAAAACAAAAGAGAAATGCACAAATTAATGCACTTCATTATAAAATTACGTATTGGACATATTTGATAAGGTTAATGGAACAAAATTCAAAGCTCAAAATCTTGTTTATTTTACTACGTGTCAAACACACGCAAACATGCTCCCTGTGCGGAATCATCACGCAGTTCGACAAATTAAAAACCATTAGATTCATTAACCAAAAAACATGAAGTGTAATCGTGTGTATCTAACGTTTACCTTATTAGTTTTCTGAGATTTCCACTCCATAATTTAAATATATCCTCCAATCATTTGGTAAAAAAATTTATATGCTGGAATATTCAATTTCTTCCTTTATGGTCTATAATTGGCTCCTTCCCCCTAGTTCTTCTCCTATTATTCTGCTTGCACTCAAGGCTCCAGCAGTATAAGTTGACCTATCTTCTCTCAAATTTTCCAGAAATATACTGTCGTGTCCAGTTTTGCCAGCAACAGTGACGTAAGTTGCTGGAGGCAATCTGTTTACCATTTTCCATTCAAAGCTAAGCTTCTAGTTGGTTTAAAGCTTGCACGTATGGTAACCAGATTATTTAATGCTTCATCTAGCAGTGACACGAAAATAATATTCTGAATCAAGATTCCCAGTTTTTCTTGCATGAAACCACGGAGATTAAAGTAATTGACACGCCAGATTTAGATGATGCATGCCTTTCGCTATTATCAGATTAATATATTTAATCATTCATTCTTGTGAAAGTTACATTTTTGGTCCAACAAGTTAAAGTCTATTCATATTTCGTGTTCTGCACGTTTAAGTATTTTCACATTGTTACTCCTGTTCGTTTCACCTTGTACAAATTTGGAAAAATTAAATACAGGAACAAGCAGCTTTGATGATGGAAATTTTGCTGAAATACATTGTTAAGAGCAATGGATTCGTTATCAATTAGTTTTATTTTATTTTTATGAAAAACCACGCATACCCAATTTTCTCACACTACTCTTTTTTATGACGATGATACTCATGACTTTATAAAAAAAATAGGGCAAACTCGAAATTACCAATGTAAAATTTCTAAATTATCTTTGTCCACGAATGGACTCTGTATAGTAACAATAATTAGGCTCCACAACTTAACAATATTAATATTTATAAATATAATTGATGATTTCTTATATAAAATATTTGAAACAATAGAATTCTCCTTCGTTTTGCATACTTGCATTCATTTTTATCAAATTTTTCGTGTTTTGTAATCCGAAAGTATAGAAAATGAGACTCTCTATGGGCTTCTTCTCTCCTTTGCGATCATGATTGTTCTCGCTAGTACACGGCACAAAAAAAAAATCGGATTTTATTGTATCCTATAGGATTTTGCTATCTTGTGTGCGTTACCCAAACGGGGCAAATATCGTCTCAAGGAAAGCGTAAACACGTGTCTTGGATCTTAGTTTCTTCATCTATTGTTTAACTTATAAATTTTCTCCAACTTCATCTACATTCTTGATTCGGATTGTGGTGGTGGATCATGACTTGTTCAGACTAAGTGCCTATTTGGTACCCATTATCTAAAAGACTAAAACTCATTTTCAATAATACATTTAATGGAATTCACATTTTTTATCAACTTTACAACCACAAATTTTAATTTTTATCACGATCTACTAAAAATCTGATTTTTAGCTAAATCAAACATGAACTAAATTTATTATGTTTTTAGTGTGTACGCACAATAGTATCAAATTTGCATTTGCGTAATTTTTTTGTTTGTTTCATTTATTTGTCTGATTATATTTCACTTATATATATTGAATAAGATATTTTTAAAGGACTGTATGTGATTTGTTTAATTTGTTTAATTCTTGTCCCTCTCATCCCAGGGCCCAGGCAATAAACAAGAGTAAAGTGTAGTTGGTTAGGTGCATAAAATATAAGTGGGAATTTTGAATTTTACAAGTGATGGCTAATATATTGGCGGAGAGAATAATGTTATATCATACAAGGAAAAAAAGGAGAAGTGATTACTGGTATTTAGTAATATTTTGAGGAGTACAAGTTGGTCAGTCACGTATGAACAAGAAAATATAAAAATCTGCATTTGTCTTATAAGATCAAAGTTGTGACTTGTGATCTCAATACAGGCATTTCGACTTTGGCAAACTGTAAATTTTTTATTCGTGAGATATGTTCATATTTTAAATCTCCATTGAGATAGCAACCAGCTACTTCGTATAGTGTTTTAATTTGATTTTATAGCGGAAAGAGTGCAGGAAATGTTTAAAGAGCAATGCAGGCAAAAAAATAAAAAAATGTTAGAAGAATATTCCCATTCTCACCATTCACTACACTTAAATTTATTGGATTTGTTGCTAAAATATTGATAACGAAACCGGCCATTGACCGAAAGTTACGAATTACGTTTTTCCTTCTGCAACCTTGCTTAAGGGTAGTGAAGGTGAAAAAGAAAGAGGAAAGGAGAGAGAGATAAGAAGGGATGGGAATGTGCGAGGATGTGATATTGCATTCATTAATCTCATTTTTCAAATGTTTAATCGTTTCTCTTCTCCACATTTTAACGATCATTAATTAAGGTTATGGGCATTCTTTAAAGTATTGTAAGCACGGCAACTTTCTAAAAAGAGTGTATAATTTCGCAAAACAAAATAACATTGGCATTTGCATTTGCATTATATGCAATGTGAAAGAGAAGAAACCAAGTTCACATTACCTCACCGGAATGTACAATAAAGAACCTCTCATGACAGTTTTTTACCTGGAGGAATGCCTGGTCACCTAAAACTGAGAAAAAGAATCAACATGCTTCAAACCTCCTGTGCTTTAATTTTACATTGTACTCTACCTGAACCCTCATTTATGCACTCCCTACTCCTAACTGTGAATCACCATCATCAGAAGACAGAGAAGAGAATGTGGAAGTTGAAACGGAAATTAAGGAGCATTTACTCCATAAGTCTTTTTTGGGGAACGAAATGTTACTCCTATGTGAAACAGAATTTGAGCTGGTGCGCTTCTGTTTGTGCAGTGAACATGTGCAATTGCGATGATATGGCCTTCGGTCAATGTCCATGTCACACATTGATAAGCTTCCCTCAAATACACACCGAAACATGAGGTCAGCTGCTGCAGTGGCCATTCTCTCCTCTCTCTCTTAACTTTCCTCCTCAATTTTTTAATGTGTTTTCACAGTGTGTTTCTGTGAATAGGTGCGTGTCTATTGAGTGAGCGAGAATTTGTTGAAAATGTGGCATGTTTCTTGAAGGGTATATATAGAGTAAAGAATTACACTTCAACGATTAGAACAATGGGAGAATGAGTAAACTTAATTTCAGAGAAGAATGCGTCAAATTCAAGAGAGTTATTTCAACAATGAATTAGCTTAGCTCTATGTTAGTAAGCACATTTTCCAAGGACAATCTTAATTAGTAGCTGTGGGGCCTAGAAGGTGTGTTCAAGAGAACAAGAGGGAATAAAAAACAAGAGAGAAGCTCAAGAATGACAAGGATCACTTGGTTTTTGAGTCCTTCCTTTTGGACCATTTCGGACATATGTTGTTGCTTAATCTATTCTGGTGAATGGGATGCTGCTATTTTAATGTTGTGCATGTGGTGGGGAAAACAAGTCCCACTAGACAAAGAATCTTGTCCTTTGTTTCGACTTCATTTGATTCTTTATTCTTGGTTCCACCGGTGGTGTGTATGAATTAAATAATACGGTAAATTAGGTTTTCATTTTCAGCTTTCTTATTGTTTTGATCAATGTCTGCGTGCCTTATTGTTGTAGAGTTTGCTGACGATATAATTCGTTTCAAAATCTTATTGTTTCCAGTAAGTGACAAAAGATTCTTGTATATGGGATGAGGCCCAGATGAAGTAATCTTCTTGCTAGTGAAGTACTGAGTTTGATTTGTCAATAGCATGTTTAGAACTTAAGATGACCGAAAAAATTCTCCTTATCATGTAACAGATGAAATCTGGTCTGACCGTGGCATATGTCAATGACCAAAAGTATGTTCTACCTCATATCTACTTGTTACTCTCATATTTGGTATGCTGAACCTCGTTATATTAGAACATGTGTGTCCGGTGTTTTGCTTTTCATGTAGTCCACTTGCCAAAGCGTGTTTCTTTTTGTTAAAGATATATGTCTCATATTGGCG